AACAGAGCAAAAATGAAAACAGAACATCTCATTGACTCCAACAACATGTCCCTTCTTCTCTTCCTTTCCCTCCTACTTTCACTCTACAACCTTCGCCGGATCTTCCACCGGCGGCGCCGCCACTGCTACCTCCTCGACTACGAGTGCTTCATGCCCTCCTCCGACCGGAAACTTAGCACGAAACTCTCCGGCGAGGTCATTCGCCGGAACAAAAACCTCCGCCTCAACGAGTACAAGTTCCTCCTCAAGGCCATCGTCAGCTCCGGCATCGGCGAGGAGACTTACGCCCCTCGAACCGTCCTCGAGGGCCGCGAGGCCAACCCCACTCTCCTCGACGCCCTCTCCGAAATGGACGAGTTCTTCCTCTCGAGCATCGGGAGTTTGCTCCGTCGAACCAACATTTCCCCAAAAGAAATCGACGTCCTCGTCGTCAACGTGTCCATGCTGGCGACCGTCCCCTCTCTCTCGTCTCGCATAATCAACACTTACGGGCTTCGAGATGATATCAAATCGTATAACCTCACGGGCATGGGTTGTAGCGCGAGCCTCGTCTCGATAAACGCGGTCGAGGCCGCTTTCCGGGCCTCGTCTCGCCATTTACGGGCCCTCGTCGTGACTTCCGAGTCGCTCGCGCCGAACTGGTACGCGGGGGCCGACCGGTCAATGATTCTCGCGAACTGCCTTTTTCGGGCCGGCGGGTGCGCGATGGTGCTCTCGACCCGGCCCGGCCCGAACGCGATGCTCCGGTTGGCCCGGCTCGCGCGGACCCACCACGGAGCCTGGGACGAGTCGTATGGGTGTTGCGTGCAGACGGAGGACGAGTCGGGACGAGTCGGGTTCCATCTCGGGAAGGGATTGCCCGCGGCCGCCACGCGGGCGTTCGCCGAGAATCTCCGGTGGATGGCGCCGAGGATACTTCCGTTCCGGGAGCTGGCGAGGGCGGCCGTGGCGGCGGCACTCGCCGGAGGGCGGCGGCCGGCGGTGGATTTCCGGTCGGGAGTGGAGCATTTTTGCTTGCATACGGGTGGGAAGGCGGTGATAGATGGGGTGGCGAGGAGTTTGGGGTTGAGTGAGGGTGACGTGGAGCCGGCGAGGATGACGCTGCATAGGTTCGGGAACACGTCGGCGAGTAGTTTGTGGTACGTGCTGGCGTATATGGAGGCGAAGGGGAGGCTGAAGAAAGGGGATCGGGTGTTGATGATAAGTTTTGGGGCGGGGTTTAAGTGTAATAGTTGTTTGTGGGAGGTTGTGAGGGATTTGGATGGGAAGGGGAATGTGTGGGGAGGGATGATCGACGAGTATCCGGTGGGGAATTTGGCGGAAAAAAGCCCGTTTTTGGGGAAGTTCGGGTGGCTGCAGAGCGAGGTGGACGAAGAGTTTCGCTTCCCGGATGATTACGAGATACCGGATTAGTATTTTCTTTTTTATTTTTTTTGGATTGTTTTGTTTTGTTGTTGTGATTGGGAAAGTATATGATATGATAGTGTGAGTTTTGTTGATGATCCACAGTGTATTTGTACCTTACTCTCAGAGATATCTATGTTGCAAAGATAGATGAAATGTGGTAATGCATTTGGTTTTGAGATATATAAGTGTCTGCTTCATCTATTTGTCTCTGTGTTTAACTTAATCTGTTTATATGTTCAAACTTTTGAGGGCATTTAAGTTTTTCTCGGTAATTTACACTACAGAAATTGAGGCCAAGGCCAAGGTGAACTTGTATAGAATTCTACACAAACCAGTAGTAATAGTAATTACTAATGTGTGCCGGTTTGTTATGTTCAACAATGTGCATTCATTGAACACGTGTAGTCTTAATTACACGTACAAAATGCCGAAAATCTGGAATATTCGGCGAGCCAGCCATATCTGTTACTCAAGCAGATTTACCATCAAGTAATAAATTATGATACCGAACATCAATTTTGGTAATAAAGCATTGATAATCTTGGTACTTCCGCTAGATCCTAATCTCTCATTACCAGACGAAGCTGGGCATAATTCGCCTGATGCACACAGCTCAGCATTTCCGGTCACACTGCAATTATACGTACGGTTAGACGAGATAACATGTAACAGGTAATAAAAGTCTGATTATTTATTTTGCTTACACTAGATGAAGGCCATTCCTGTTAGACAGGGAAGCTGGTATCGAACCGTTGAGTCGATTATTTGCTAGATTTCTGTTAAAAAAAAAAAAAAACAAGATATTATTATCAATGGTTTTCTAAGCAGCAATAACAAGTTGTGATATATTTGTACTCACTCACAGTGTTCTGAGGTTAGGTAATGTGCCAAGAAAATCAGGAATAGGCCCTTGCAAGCTGTTATTGTGAAAATCACTACAAAATCCAACAGCAGTATTGTACATTACAAAGATCAGACAGCAAACAGCAAAATATCAATGCGAATTTTGGTTAGAAACGATTTTATCGACTCACATTGTTCGAAGGGCATCCATGGAACTAAAATTCGGAAGCATTCCCGAGAGGCCAAAGCTACCGAGTAGCCTGCAATAAACGAACAATAATAACCAAGCTAAGTCGAGTACATCACTGGATATATCAATCAAGATTGTGCAATTTTTACTAGCAGTAAAATTATCAGTTTACAGAGCGGTAACTCGCGGCATAGAATCACTGCTACAATCGATCCAATCCCATGCGTATGGTGCAGGAAGACACGGATCCCCGCTCCAATCTGCCAACGTGGCGAACGCATTTTGTAGAGCTTCCAAGCCTTGCACTGTATTATTATTATTAGCAAAACAAGTAAATTATAAGAGAAATTTTAAGTTAATTATATCAGGCATATATTAGTTTATTTATTTTCCTTCCTCACCATCTCTTCTGTCGGTACCGTCTGTGAGCTCGGGTCCCACGACAAAGACTTCCATGGCGTTTATAAGCGGAGCAAGTGTAGAACCGTTTGCCGGGACTATAGAAAAAGTCGTATTTGTTGAGGCTGTAATGTTATTAGTATACAGTTGCGTGCAGTTAGCGTAAGGCGGAGAAAACGGCTGCGAGAAGGGCAGATTATCTTTGAAAACGGACATTGACCGTGTCTCGTTGAGCTGAAGTCGGGATACTTCCGAAAAGTAGGCGTTGATGTAAACCGGGACCTCGACCGGTGGAAATCCCATGTTTATTTGTAAGCTCGAATTCGGACTAATTGCGGTAACTGCGTGCTTTAGCACTGCAGGTGGGGGTAATTCCGACAATATGATCGGACCGTTGAAAACGGCTGTGCTCGAGACCGGGATCATGGCTTCCGTGGATGCTTCCGGACTCCATAATCGGTCGTAAATATCATTCGGATACCTACACTCGAGAATTTTATTTTTCCGAATGCATGAAATTTCTTACTAAGAAAAAAAGCAGAGGACAACATTCACAAACACAAGCTATCTTTAGGCTATGTTTGATAACCTATAGCTAATAAACTAGTTTATAACTTTTAAGTAAATTTCGAACTGATAGCTTATGACCTATTGAAAAACTAGCTTATATGATAAAAGTGTTGGGTAAAATTAGCTGGCTGAAATAAAAATTTCGACGAGCTTATTTGAGAAGCTACCAAAAGAAGTTTATGAGATAAGCTCGAACTTTTTAAAAAAGTTTCGTCCTACCAAACGAAACTTATTTGAATACACGAAACTTATAAACTATTAAAATAAGCTCTAAGCTAACTTATATGCTTACCAAACACATCGTTAGCTACATTAGTCATTACATCAACATAAAAACCTCGATTTCAGTCATAGCTTCGACCAAAGTCAACCCCAGCTGCAAGCAGAACACGACTCGAATCTCGATTAATCAACAACAACAAAAAANACCTGATAGTTGCATTCGATCCGAAAGCCACTCTCTTCCTCAGGAACAAAGGCCTCGTCTCGTTTACAATCGCGTACATAAACGGCTCCAAACTCCGAAACTCGAGGGAAGACAAAAACGGGAAATGCCCGGGACTCGTTTGAGCCAAGCACACGCTTATGGAGTCCCCCTTCATAACATAAACAACCTCGTAATAAACGAGCTCCGAGGCCGAAGTCTCGACTGTCGCCCAACGGTTGCCGTCGAATTGGAGTTCGAAAGTCGGCGGAGATGATCTGCCGTCGTAGTCCCCGTAGTAAAACCCCGCGCGCACGAGCACGCGGCCCTTTTTGAACGAGTCGATTTGGTAGCAGTTTTTGACTCGGGACGTGAAAACGCGAAGCGTGGCTGCTGCTCGGGGGAGCCAGCTGGCGGAGGGAACCGAACGGGATTCGCCAGTTAGTGTGAAGTTTTCGTCACCCGACCAGTCGATGAGGTTAGCGTCTCTGTATGAGACGGACGAGCCGCAATCGATGCTGAGGAAAACTGCAAACGATAAAAAACGGGATTTTTTTTTAAAAAAAAATCGGAAAATAGTCGGAAAAAGGTGTCGGGATTGCGATTTCTTACCGTCGGCCGATACGGAGAGACAGAAGCACAGAGCTAAGACAAGACATGAGAGTTCATGAGGTTTTGCACCCATGACTTATTAGATTTTGTTCTGTCTGGGAAAAAAAATTGAGTTTGGTGGATTCTATTCAAATGGAGATAATTGGTTCATCACTGTTGGTTGATGTTCTTGAATCATATACTGAAACTTAAGAATAAGGTTTTTTTTTTAATATGTGATGGATTTTGCTAATTTACTTATTATGAAGTTATTTTGAAGGATACATTAAAATTCATCAATGTCCTGTACTACTGGCTCTGCTTCATTTGACTTTGAGAGTTTTGGAAAGGACTGAGTCATGCAGTTGACAAGTTGCTGTTGGTCAACTTAAAAAACAAAGTTGCAAACAATTAACAAGTAGACTTTTGGGAATCAAATTGTAATTTTATAAGAGTCAAGTGGGGATATTGTAATAATCCCGACAGGGTGGAGGTCAAGAAAATACACAGTGATTGCACGTTGTTCGCACTACTTTGATTCGAAGATGGAAAATCCCTCTCAAAATAATATGATGATATGTATTATGTTTATTGCATATTAAGTAAAAGAGATTTTTCACTTAATTGCAGCATAACAATTTGATATTAAACAAATCATTCTCACAAGAATAATATCATATTATTTCATTTTCGAAATGAGTAAAATATGAATATTGAAAAAAAAAAGAATATTGAAAAATAAATTAATATGATTGATTTAGTGAAGATATGTAATAGAATAAAGAAATGAATTAAATAACAAAATATAGATTGAAATAAATAATGATTATTTTAATGAAGAAAAATATTTAATGTAATGAAAAAAATCATGCGTAATTGACATTTGACAGACACTCAACCTAATTATATATTAACCAAAATCATAAAATTGTAAAAGTACTAATAGAATCTCGAAGCATGTAAGTCCATGGACAGAGCCACCATTGGACTAGGCCCCATAATTTTTTATTTTTATTTTTTGTTTAGTTTAGCATTTCTTATTTGTAGCCTCATGTAAATATTACTCTAGCCTAATTTAGCTCATATGTTTTTAAGAAGAAACCCAATAATTTATTAATTTTTCATTCTCAAAGGTAGAAGAGGTTTGAGCCTTTTTCTAGATATATATATATATATAAAAAAAAAACACAAATTTATTGCTTATCCTAATTTTATTTTACAAATGTGTAAGAAGATTGTTGATTAATGTTTGTTTTAATAGTGCTATGAAGAGAGATTACTTATGTTATGTAATGATCAAGAGCTAATAGGACTTGATTTGTGATGATAAATTTAGATATATACTTAGTTTGAATTTATGCACACAACTTGATTGTTCGATGAAAGCACAATTAAACATTTGAGATAATAAAATATAAATTCGTATAGGCTAAAAATTGCATATTTGGACATGATATAAGTCTTTATATACTTTTCTTTATAGTTTAACATGTTGTTTTTCTTCTTATTATTTTCTTTTTTATTTTGGTTAAATCATATTGAATCATTTTACTTGAAATAATATTGATTATTCATGTAATTTATATTACATTACATATCGAATATATCAATTACTTTATATTTTAATTTTATATATTTTGTTTCTTCTAGAATTCTAATAGAATATTTATTTTGTGATTGAACTTATGGATTTTAATAATTTAGTATCGACATTCATTGAATTTTTAAAATATACTTTCATTCATTTAACTTTGTAATTCATGTAAGTTGTATTGAATATTAAAAAGAATTAGTTTCATACATTGGTTTTTTTTATGCTTGGCATGTAGCTAAAGATGTTATTCGAGTCGAGTCAAGTTGGATATCTCATATTCGAACTTGTGATTATTCAATAAATAAACTTGATTAGGTATTCGAGCTTAGCCATTTGAAGTGTATGAAATAGTTGAGTTAGAACTTTCACGAGACGAAATGTGTTGTGCTCGTGAATAATTTGATTCGAATAATGGCTCAATGTTAAGCAGCTCCGGGTAAAAAAAAATCCTAGCTAGGCCTTGCGTGAGCCTAAACAAATTCAAAAATTATATATAAGGGATATAGTTTCAGAAAATAAAATAAAATATCTGTTTTCATTTAACAAGTGTATGTGTGTAACAAGTTCACTTAGATCTAGATTGCCTGCACCAGCATTTATGTTTCCTCGATCCCACGAGGAGTAGAAATTAAAATTGTAACTATTTTCGTATTAATCGATTAAAACTAAGGAAACAATAAAAGGTGGGGGGATTGGTCTTATAAAAATAAAAATAAAAATAACAAAATAAAATAAAAATCAAATAAAATGAGAGAAGTTCAGTTTTTCGGTTCAGTTATCACTCAATCTAGATCTACCGTTAATTAATTTCGACGTTTTCTTTAAATTGCTAACTAATTACCAACCCTAGCTAACAACAAGCTCTGCTAACCGAATTTTCCCTTACCGAATATTTAATCGAAATAAGTTCTTCGACTTAAGGAGATATATGTGGGTTCTGCCCGTGAGAAACGATCTGCTCGTGAAAATATCTCGAGTGTAGATCTTAGGTATATTTTATGTATATGTGGGTTTTGAAATCGATTTCGAGAAACGATTAAAACTCGATTGTATATTTAAAGTATATTTTATGTATATGTGGTATCGTGAACTTGAATTACGTGAATCTCGATTGTGTATTTTATGCATATTGTACGTATATTTTATGTATATGTGTGTTGTGCAACTTTGGTATATACCCGCAATATATACCCGCAACGTGTAAATTTTTCATACCCGAAATATACAAATTTTCATATCGATACATATACCGAAAATATACTATATATAACCACAACATATACCCGCAACAATTACATAATTTTACTATCTATCAACAAATCAAGCACACCAAGTGTTCGACAATTATCCTCTAAGAAGTTTTTTGTTAGAACAGATAGAAAAAAAGTACATAGTAAACATATATTGTACATATACTGAACATATATTGCAAATGAACTGAACATATACTACATACAAGCAACATATATTGTCGATTGCCTCGTGCAGCGAGTTAAAGAAAAAAAATAAAAAAAAATAAAACAAAGAAAAGGTAAACAGGTTTAAAAATGGGCGCATCATCTTCGGTGCACGCCGTCTGAAGTCGTTGATGTCCACCACAAGCCGCCTGAAGTCGCCGACGACTCCCGATTTCTCACCTCGACGGCGGACGATAAATGATAGAGCACGGATCCAACTCAAGTACCGTCTTCTCCACTCTAATCGACAGATCCTTCCCATCAATAACGCCATTAAAAAGCTCCAGAAACTCCCAATCCACGAGCCCGCTGTCTCCGTCCCCTTCTCGTGAGTCCTCCATACTGGAGGACCAGCGCCGGCGAACCGCTATCTCCGGTTAGGTGGTCGCCAGTCGGAGCTTAGGTCGCCTTACTCCCGGAGGGTATGCCAATCCATCGATCCGCCAACCCCGCACTCATCCAAGCCGTGGGTCGCCCGTAATCGACCGATATAAAAAACAGATAAAAATTTAAATGTAATGTTGTAGAAGAAGAAGAAGACAGAGGGAGAGAACAAGAAGAAGAAGAAGGAGAGAGAGAGAAAGAGAAAGAGAGAGAGAGAAAGAAAGAAAATGTCAGTGATAAAATTTTGGGAAGTTGAAAAGTCTTCCATTAATTACTCAACTAATTGATTACAAATGTAACTTAATGATTTTATTGATATTGGTAGTTTTGCAAATAAAAAGGGCTCGACTAGTTGAATTGCTATTATTTATGATTTGGTTTCATATATGTAATAAAAAATTATATATAACGTAAACTGTGCAAATTTCTCTTTATTTATTTTCTTCACCAATTAATTCCATCCTCACGCTTCCAGTTAATAAAGTCCAGCCCAAATAATGTCTTGACAAATTCCACTAGCCCCTCATGCCTTGGATTTAATTTTCTTAACAATTGGGCTGAAATTGGGCCGGTATGGAGTGCTCGATAACTGATCTCGTAAACTTCTGTACTTCGCGTACATAAATTGCTCCAAAATATTGAAAATAACACAAAACATCAAAGCAAATAAATCCATACAAATAATAAATAGACCGAAAAATATAAACGTGCATATAAATTAAGCGTATAAAAATACAATATTAAATATATAAAATACGCATATTTTTCAACCTATCACTAGTACAATCTGTATCCGATAACAATCAACTGTAAGCTATTCGTTATCAGCTATAACTACCAAACGAAATTATATAACTTGATCTACAGTAGGTGTTGTTTTATGCATAATTTTATTAGACAAATGTCATACTTAAAAAAAGTCACAATTAAACATAAGTTCGAGAGTTTATGACATTTGATATATTATAAATATACGTTTTTATTTAGAATTGACGGGCTGACCTGCATAACATTAAGATTGTCTTACACAAAAATTGATTGTCTTAAACAAAAATTTATAGTATTTGATAGTATAAGGTAAATAGTTGGAAGGAATAATTAATTAAAAAGTAAACAATTGACCTTTCAAATGTGCTCAACCATGCGAAAGATATATCATCAAATCCAAGCAGCTTTACTTTTCAGCTAAAAAAACATGGAATCACACATGGTTTTCAGCGTTATTAATTTGGTCAAAGTGAGAAACTTATCTCTTGTGGGCCAAAAAGCTGAAAAACTTATCTCTTGAAAATGATTTTAAATTGGAGAAAAAAAAAAAAAAACTTTTAGTATGCATATTGTCATTGTAATATATTGTATTTTAAAAATAACGTAAATTGAAAAATCGCATTTGATAATATAAGTATATATTTTTTTGTTCAACTATATATATTAAAGTCAACCTCCATGAATCCAACTTCTCGACAAAGATAATTGCTGTCTAATGTCAACAAATCCAGAGCCAATTTTCAAAATTTTATTGGTGCCATGGCAAGTGGAATTCCAGATTTTGCACCACCAATAATGGCATGATCTGTGGAGATGTTATGTTGTGTTGAATGGTTTACAAATATCATGAATAATGGCAAACATGAATACACATGTTCCTAAGTTTTGGATCATCTAAGAAATTAATAAACTTTGAGGGCATCATCATGCCATGTGGACTCATAAAATATATACATTTATTGAGCACATTGGAAAGATCAACTTATTACTTTTTATTTTTTTATGTCAATTGAAAATTAGATTGTACATTCCTTAAATTCAAGAAAGCACATGTATATATTTAGAAGCTTGACTTATAACAGTTTAATATATTTTCATGTTAATAACTGAGCTAGTGGTTGTCCAGATATTATTTATTCTTATATATTTCGTGCCAATATGTTTTTTCAAACAATAATACATATAGAAACAAAAATAAGGATCCTCCCGCAAAACACACTATTAGAACTGCACACTCCCACAAAAGAAAAAAGCACATCACATTGAAAATACAAGTAAAGAAAAATAAAAAAATATATATATATATATATATATATATATATNCACAAATTGTTTTGTATTTTTTGGTAATTTTTTTTAGGAAAAATATGTAGTTGAGATTTGATTTTTTCTTAAAGAAAGAAAAAGAAAAATAAACTTCGATAATTGTTTATTTCATTTTTTATTCTTTCGTGGTTGTTAAGTTATTACTCAAATCACATTTATAAAATTAGGAGGCGAAACCTGTTAATTGTTGCCCTCAATTATTTTTAAATCCAGATTAATTTTAGATCTACAAAAAACAAATGTCACTAAATAAAATAATAAGCAAAATTTAAAATAAACTAATACATCAAAAAATTTAAGATCTAAAAAAAGTATAACCATGTTACTAAACAAAAATAAATAAATAAATAAATAAAGAGCGAAACTTCAAATAAAAATAACAATTCAGTTTTATAAATGTGATTACAAAAAACAATTCTCATCATTTATACTAGTACGAGTCTCGTGCGATGCACAGACAAGAGATATTCATCAATATTTATAAATTAAAAATACTAATTAAATAATATTTATAATTAAAATATAGAATCAATATGTAATACAATTTACCTATATTAATTTATTGATAATGTTATAGAAATTTAAATTGTGCAAAAATTACATAAAACATGTCTATTTAAAATTAGTAAGCAACTCATATGATACACGTAACTGATAATAAATTACATTATATTCATAAATTTTATTTTAAAATTTTTATTCATAAATTTGATTTGACTACAATGTGATTCTATATAAAAATTATTTCGATAAAATTTTATCATATATTTAAAATCTATGTGAATAATAGGTATAATTATAAAACTTATATTNCGCCCATAGTTTGAAATCATACTCAAGGTGGCACATATTTTTTTACGATTTTTAACTTGAATCATCAAAGATCAAATAAAAAATGTGCCTTTCAACAAAATATTTTGTTAATCGTCGCATATTTCCCAAAGTTCCGATATCAGATAGGAGTCTTATGGCCCAGACTCAATATACACTCACGTTATAAGGCAAAATGTTTGTTCTCACATGTTTTTTTTTTCTTAAACATATTTTTTGTTCTCGTAACTGATTATTTATATTATATTTGTTGAAGTTTAGAGATGTAACATCTGAATATATTTTATTAGAATTTGTATTCGTATGTTTGTACTATTACATGTATTTTTTGTGCTCGGAATTGATTGTTTTTTTTTTAGAATTTTGAGGTTCAAAGACGAAGCATCTTCATATAATTTTTAGAGCATGTATTAGTACAAATGAAAATGATTTATGAATGTTTATATGATATGGCGGATCCACATATGGGCCAGCCTAGGCAATTGCCTAGGCTGGATTTTTGGTATTAACTTCATATCATTACATGTGTTAATTGTAAATTTATATTTAATATTTCTAGAAATATAAATACAAGTTCTAATTTTAAAATTTTAAATAATTCTTACAAAATAACATTATTTTTTTATTTAAAATGATCACCTCACCTGTCAAATTTGACTGCATTATGTTACAATATTTTTAGTATTTATAATATATAATAGGCTTGATAGTTAAAGTTTATGAGAATAGATATTAAATATTCTAGTAATTTGTAAAAGATCTTTTTCCCATAAAAAACCGAACTAAAATTTAAAATTCTTAAGCAGTATAATCCAAGAAGATATAGATGCATTAAATTCTCAATAACCAACCTTAATAGGTATGTTAATTGTTTGTTTAACAAACTCCATCTGATGAGGTATAGATGCATTAGGATTCTTTGTTAATTTGTTTAACAAAATGATTAGATTTGTTAATTCCATCTATTCCATCGCCCACCATCATCAACATCACCAATACCAAACACGAGAAAAATTGAAAACCCCCTTTTCAGCCCACCACTCGCACACCTAACCCCATGAATGGCTGATAAACCAACCAAGCACAAAATCAAGAGCAAAAAGCATAAACACCAGCATCCAGACGACCCGGCGTCGGCAAAATCCACCGCCGATCTCTCCTTCAAGCCCTCCTCCGATGTCAAGTGACTCCGATTTGGAGGCCGCGCAGCGGCTATGGTGATTTTCGTGTTCGAATTGGAGGGGCTGAGGGCGGCCGCGAAACGGCTGTAGCCGGCGGAGATGCCGCTAGGAGAGGTGAACTGGAGGCTGATTCGGGGGATGGCGAGTTGCGAGATGGCACAGTTCAAGTTACGGAAGAGATGGTGCGGATAGTAGTGTACGCGGTGAGGAGGTGCGGCGGATCAGATCTGAGGGAGATTCTGCAGGCAGTGGCGACGCTCAAGGATTTCCTCGACCAGCATCGCCATAATTTAAGGCTGCCCTCTTTTTTTTTTGAAAAAGAAAAAGAAAAAAAAATAAAAAAGTTACTAAGAATAGTAAGTAATCAATGTTGATTAAAATTTGACTAAAGTTTGACTTACTATTTTTAAAAAATGTTAATTCTTATTATATATATATATATAGATATTGATTGATTTATTTCCTATAGAAACAACCATCAATACCAAAAATAAATTCGTCCACTATATACCATATATTAATTAATTCACATGGTTTGAGTAATTGATGTATCTTAAAATATAGCTTAATTACTTCCTTAAATAACTAGCCGCAATTTTCATAAGTGATCATTTGATATATACCATAAATTGTTAAAATAATTTTCCAAAATAATAAATAGATTTTTTTGGAGGGAAATAGTTACTAATTAAAAAATAATCAAAACATATATATATATATATATATATATGTGTGTGTGTGTGTGTGTGTGTGTGTGTGTGTGGATATGATTGTTGCAGATTTGGTTGCACAATGACAAAGGAAGTTGGAAGATCTTTAAAGATTTATTATTGTATTAGTTCAAATTATGTACATAAATTATATTGATTTATTGACTTTCTGTTGTATTGTAAGCTATATTGAGCCAGAATATTGGAGGCTAATTAAATTGGGTTAATATTTGGAGAATCGTCCAGCAGCAATATTTCCATGAGAATTGACGCAATGTTTAACCCAATATATAGTAGAAATTGAACGAAAATCTAGTTAGCCGCAGCATTTGACAATATATATTTATATATAAATTTGACTTTTTCATTTTTAATTTAAAAAATGGCCGGACTTTTTCAAATTATTTATTAAAAAAAGTAAAAATGAATTATTTAGGCGAAAAAATAGTTACTTTTTCAGGCGAATACTAAACGTTTTTATATTTATATAGATATAGATATAAATTTTCAAAAAAGTAAACAACCACATAGTAACTTGATTACATTTTAATATTTTATATGATTATATGGCATACAAATTTCAAATTAAACTAACCTTTTTTCTCACGTTTTTAATTTTGAATTCCTTTTCATCATATAATATCATGATTTAAATAATTATGTTATATGAATCTGGCCGGTGAAGCAATAAAAGCAACATTTTTCTGGGTTTTAATTTTTAAACCTGACTCGCAATTAAAGTCGACCTTCTTCTCCACACTAATTAACTCTTTAGAAACTGTAAATTTTGTGCGTACACTTCACTGCACTGCACAATTTCCCACTCTTTCAGCCTTCCATCAAAAACCCTATCCGCCATTGTTGTGTTGAGTTAACCTTCTCTAGAGAGAGACGGAAAAAAAAAAAATATTGGAGAAGAATAATTTCATGTTTGTGTCAACATCAAGGTGGCCGATCAGCTCAAGCTAGTTCATTTTTTTTTACTATATTTTATTCTGGGCTTTGTTTCCTTTTACTCGGTCGGTGCAAACGCTTTGTTTTCTTTCTGGGCTGTGATAATTAAATCTAGGTTTCGTCTCATCTGGTTCGACCTGGAGCTTTTTGGATCGAAGGTACAACAACAAACAAGCATTTCCCTTCTCAATATTTTACTTTTTCCTGAAAACGGATAACAATGGCGTATTCGAATCGAGCATAGTTCTATATCTGTAATAACCGGTGTTGATTATGTGGGTTTCTGCGATGATGGGTTGTTGGGTTTCGAGGTTTTCGATCTGGGTTTTGTTCGTATTGAATCTTGCATTTTGCTCTAGAGGGTTCGATCCTGTCGATCAATATTACATCAATTGTGGGTCGTCCGGCGATGTCACCGTCGGCAATGTGACCTATGCTGCCGATAGATCCGCCTCTAAATACCTTTCAACCCCTCGAGACATATTAGCCGACCCCAATCTGAACGATGAATCCCTTTTCAGTACGGCCCGAATTTTCACCGGCCCGTCTAGGTACACTTTCCCAATCAAACGGGCCGGCCGGCACTGGATCCGCCTCCGATTTAACCCGTTTGTTTACCAAACTTACGACATGAACAACGCAATTTTCTCCGTTTTCTCCCAGAAAAATCCCCTGCTCAGCAGCTTCACCCCTAATCGAAATTCCACCACCGTGAAAGAATACTCCGTCAACCTAACTTCCGGCGACTTCATCCTCACCTTCTCCCCCTCGGAAAACTCATTCGCTTACATTAATGCCGTCGAGGTCGTTTCATCTCCAGACGATCTCATCACAGACGATGCCTCTCTCTACAGCCCAGTGGGCCCCTTCGTCGGGCTTCTAACCGAATCCCTCGAAACAATCGCTCGGTTAAACATGGGCGGATCGTATATCTCTCTTGCTAACGATACATTGGGCCGCGAATGGGTACCCGACTCTAACTACCTATCCCAGCCAGACCTCGCCGCCAGCGTGTCCAAAATCCCGGCCGTCCGTTATCCGCCAGGTGGCGCCTCGCCGGAGACCGCCCCACCAACCGTTTACGGCACCTGCACTAAGATGAAATCCGACGACGACCCGCGGAGCGACTTCAACGTGACGTGGCACTTCCGCGTCGACCCGGGTTTTCGCTACTTTCTCCGACTCCACTTCTGTGACATCATCAGCACGTCAGCGAATCAGCTCGTCTTCAATGTCTACATCGACACGTCACTCGTGGCGCCCGATCTCGAGCTGACAACAGAAACCTTCGGCCAGCTGGCGACCGCGTATTATACGGACTTTGTTACGCCTTTGATGGACAAAAATAACCTCACCGTGAGCATCGGCCCTTCTCCTCAGAGTTCTTACCCGGACGCGATTCTCAACGGGCTCGAGATTATGAAGATGAACGATTCGAGAGGAAGCTTGGCCGGTTTGTTGGTTTTGCCCGCTTTCTCGGGCTCGAAAAGGATAAAACTCGGACTAGTCGTGGGTTTAAGCGTGGGTCTTTCGATAGTTATTGTCGTTATACTATTGTTAGTCTACCGGCGAAGGAAACGGCAAGAACGCATTAAATACCTTAAATCGTGGGTCCCGTTTTCGGTCAACGGCGGGGGAACTTCTCACTCGACGGGAAGTAAGTACTCGACGGGCACGGTTTTGAGTGTGGCGCCGAATTTGAGCTATCGGGTCCCGTTTTTGGCCGTTCAAGAGGCGACTAATAATTTCGACGAGAGTCGAGTGATTGGTGTGGGAGGGTTCGGGAAGGTTTACAAAGGAGAACTACACGACGGGACAAAAGTGGCCGTCAAGAGAGGAAACCCGAAATCCCAACAAGGAATGGCCGAGTTCAGAACCGAAATCGAGATGCTTTCTCAATTCCGGCACCGACACCTCGTCTCGTTGATCGGTTATTGTGACGAGAAAAACGAGATGATTCTCGTTTACGAGTACATGGAAAATGGGACACTGAAGAGCCATTTGTATGGGTCGGGCCTCCCGAGCCTGGGCTGGAAGGAGAGGCTCGAGATATGTATCGGGTCAGCTCGCGGGCTGCATTATCTTCACACGGGCTACTCGAAAGCTGTGATCCACCGTGACGTGAAGTCGGCGAACATATTGCTCGACGAGAATCTCATGGCCAAGGTGGCGGATTTCGGGCTTTCGAAAACTGGGCCCGATCTCGACCAGACCCACGTCAGCACAGCTGTGAAAGGGAGTTTTGGGTATTTGGATCCCGAGTACTTTAGACGGCAGCAGCTGACTGAAAAATCAGATGTTTACTCGTTTGGTGTGGTTTTGTTTGAAGTTCTTTGCGCGAGGCCCGTGATCGACCCATCTCTGCCGAGAGAAATGGTTAATCTTGCTGAGTGGGCGATGAGGTGGCAGAAGAAGGGCCAGCTGGAGCGGATCGTGGACCCGAATCTTGCGGGTAGGGTAAAACCCGACTCGTTGAGGAAGTTTGGTGAGACGGCAGAGAAGTGTTTGGCGGATTTTGGGGTCGATAGGCCGTCTATGGGAGATGTGTTGTGGAATTTGGAGTATGCGCTTCAGCTTCAAGAGGCGGTGGTCGAGAATGATCCGGAAGAGAACAGTACGAACGCGATTGGACAGCTGGCAGCTCGGTTGGAGGCTTCGGGTGATTCTGTGGCTCGGTTGGAGGCTTCGGGTGCAGTGGATGATATTTCGGGTGTTTCGATGAGTCGTGTTTTTTCGCAGCTGGTGAAATCCGAAGGTAGATGATGATCGATCGATTTGTGTCGTGATGAATCGAAACAAATTCTTTTCTTTCGTTTTTCATTTTAAGGCAAAACCTTTCTGTTCTATCTGAACAGATGAAAAAGTCTTTGTGTTGTTTTGTTTACATAGACTTGATGATAATAATAGTGTTCTTTTGCTTGCCTGTGTTTGTGTTTTTGTACCCTTTTCTGGGTTTCTCTGTGTGTTTGTATTATTATCTATTATGGTTTCATTTTTGGGATCAATTTTAGTTGTTAATTTCACTTGTTTGTGTGGTTTGGAGAGTTTCCTTCTAGAGTATACTGGCAATACTGTGCCATTAATGAGTAAGAAGCAACAAAGTCCAAAAGGAAACTTTTGGTTGGTATATGATCGACTTAATGGTTAATATTTCATCCAGAGGTTGACCATAAACAAGTACTCCTATATACTACCTCCTATTCTTTTTAAATGTCATTTTGGCTTTATCAACTATTAACCAAAATAAATGTCGTTTTGGATCTTTTGTACATATTTTTCCATTATTACCCTCAGTTAGTTAATAAATACATTATGTCTTTTCATATTCTCTTCATCTTTTTTTTTAAAACATCTACCTCTATCTTCATTAATGAGGGTTATTATTGACAAAAAAATTATTCTTAATTAGTGTGCACCTTCCCAAAACGACACTTATTATGAATAGGAGGGAGTACTTAATAAACTTAATTAATGACATTAGTATGAATTTAAAACTGCTGATTTTAGTCTCATTAAAGGTCAATTGGTAGGCTCGTAAAATGATGGTTATTAATTATGTTAGAAGCGTACTATACTAAGAAGTTTAGTTAAACATAGAAAAATAATAATCAATCTTATTTTATTTGTCATTTTGACTTTATTGACCATTAACTAAATAAAAATGACATTTTAAATCTTTTATACACATTTTCCTTTGTTACCTTCGTTTAACTAATACACTACATGTTTTGGGAAGAAAGTTGTGAAATACAATGAGTTTTTTCTCTTAAAAAAAACATAAAAGAAACTGAAAAAAAAAAAAGAAATTAGTTTATGTTAAATTGTTTTAAGTAAGAATTTCTTAATTTGTGTGTTAAAAGCACAAAACACATTTAAAAAGAAAGAATATGAGTGAGTATTATTACTTTCTATTCCCTACCTATATGCCACAAGTTTTCATATCCTAAATGTGAATTCCATGTTTCGTAATACTACATGTTGATTTTATTGTGTCTTATAATATTGTTAAGATTTTTTAAATTATATATACTTGAGTAAATTAACCTATAAATTAAGATATTTTAAAAGTTAGTAACCTATTGAACAATTTTGATTTGGTATCCATATTGTGTATGCAAAACAAATAATTATTATATTTACTCTTTTTACTAAAAATTTAAACCATCTACCAATATTAATTGAAAAATAATAAAATTTAATAGAACAAATATTTATTTCCATTAGATGAATTGAGCTAGAAAAAATATCTAATACAGGACGACTGTTTTTCAAAAAATCATTTAAAATTTAAAAACAAAAACTTTATATTTATTTTTAACATTTAAGAATAAATTTTTTAATAGTATGTGCAGGTATTGTCCTAATAGATATATAATGGGTTTATTGCACCAAATTCCCCTGTATTATATGAAATCTGCGCGTTTTCTCTTGCTATTTCAAAAATTACGTCAAACCCCCTTGTATTTAATGTCTCGATGCACACTCGTCATTTTAAGTTAACGGCGTGACTTTAATGCTGACGGCATTATTTTTTCATTGAAATTACCATTATACCTCTACTTTATCCTTGAATTTACCATTATACCCTTATTGTCATATATGGTGACTTAAAAATAAAACACCAAAGGTGAGGATTGAACCCACTACCTTTGGGTTATAAAAAGCCACTCTCACCAATTAGACTACTTGGCATTTACTTATAAATGTGACTTTGTTTATTTATATCGTAACATATAACGGAACTAATATAATAATTAAGTATATGGATTCTAATTTATAAATAATATAATAAATAAGAATATAGATTCTAAATTAGTATATAGATTATAAATTATAAATAATATAATAATTAAGTACTTAGATTATAAATAATATTACAATTAAATATGTTTTAGTTATAAATAATATAATAATTATGTAAATAGATTTTAAATTACAAATAATATAATAACTAAATAACGAGATTATAACTTATAAATAATATAATAATTTGGTATATAGATTCTGTATATAAATAATGTAATGGTTAAATAAACATACTCTAAATTATAAATAATATAGTGAATGAATAAATAGATTCTATATTCTAAACTATAAATGATAAAATAATTAAGAAAATAATTTATAAATTATAAATAATATAATAATATAATAATTCAATAATTTAGATTCTAAATTATAAATCATATAATAATTAAGTAAATATATTTTAAATTATAAATAATATAATGATTAAGTAAAGAGATTCTATATTATAAATGATATAATAACTAAGTAATATATATATTCAAAATTATAAATAATACAATATCTAAAAAAGAGATTCTAAATTATAAATAAGAATAAACTTTTTATTCGAGTTTATATTTATTCAGATTTAAAAACAACAAAATAATAAAAAATTATTTACATTATTTAAATCTCATAACAAAGGATATTTTATATTTTAATTAATATTCTTTTTATTATAAATAACATATTTATATTTTTTTACATTACTAGAATTTAAAATAAATAAACTGAAAAATAAGAAGTACTTTAAATATTTTTACACTGAAAATAAGAATTTTATTGAAATAAATAAAGTTTATATATTTTTTAAAGTATCCACAGTTCTTTAAGTCAATTATAGAATTTTATTGAAAAATAAGAAGTACTTCAATTATTTTTTACACCAAAAATAAGAATTTTATTGAAAAATAAGAAGTACAATTATAATATTTATACACCGAAAATAAGAATTTTATTGAAATAAATAAAGTTTATATATTTTTTAAAGTATCCACAGTTCTTTAAGTAAATTACACCGAAAATAAGAATTTTATTGAAAATGTGCAAATTTCGTATAATACATGGGGATTATGTATATTTTACCCGATATATAATGCAATGTAGAAAATGAAAATCAATAATGAATAAATATAATTATGTTGATGAACCCAACCAAGTCTTGCAATGTAAGTTGCATAATTACGAGCGTGTTTGTAGTTTAATAATCATTGTAATTATGTGGTCGGTCCATCCCTTTTTTTACCCTGTATCGCTTATACCATACTCCTGTTAGTAATCATACACAATAATTTCCTCAATTAATAATAATAAAGGTAAAGTTACAGTTTTTATAAATTGGAATTCTGTCTTTATGTTGACAACAGTTTATGAACTTCTGAAACAGTTCTGTTTGTTACTTTTATATTAGCAATCAGTTTTTCTATGAAGCCAACAGTTGGCTCCATAGTGGAGTCAACCTTCTATATACAACAAATAAATTTACCATATTAATAAAATTATATTAGTGTTATTTAAGTAATCAAAGAATATAGTAGGTTTATTTGTTGTATATAGAAGGTTGACTCCACTATAGAGCCAACTGTTGGCTTCATAGCAAAACAGTATATCCATATATGAAAGTCATTAAGTAAAAACGGACTTTTAGGAGATTGTCTTACTTTTTTATTAAAACTCTTTTATTAATTAAGCAGGTGTTTGAATAACAAGTACAGAAAAATTATACGCCTAGAACTCTTTGACTAATTTACTTTGTACTCTGGATACCTAACAACTCTTATGGTCACCTTTATTTATCTATATATATATATATAAAGAGTAGCAACAAAACATTTAATTTTATTACCATGCATTAAATTTTATTCTCATGCATTAAATTTTATTCTCCCTCTAAAATTTTCAGCATTCAATTTTATTTTTAAGTTACAAAATAACTTGCTTGAATGCCATAAATTATGAGCATAAACCAATCAAGGGAGTTACAAAATTGTATTCAAATTTTAAGTCACACCCACCCATGAAAATGACCGGGTGTATTAGTATAAAGAAAATAGTTGTAACAGCTCTTTCATAGTAATTACTTGATCAAAATCAATTTTGAGAATTATTTTCTTAATTTATATTTTTTCATGAATTAAATTAAGATTAATTTTTGTTTTTCTTTTTATATTTTTATCTTTTAAAGCATTCAGCTCTGTGCAAATGTACAAATTGATTACTAGTTTCCTTCAAATTGAAACCCACTATTTAATTTAATTAATTTCTTGTGGTATAAAAACTTGAAACCGACCAAAGGCTGTGGCAGCCATAAATTTAGTCAACTTGGTAGTTATCAAGTTTTTTAGTGCTGTGGTAAAAGCATGGGTTGGGTGGAAAGATTATTAGGAAAGTAATTTAAAAAAAGGTGACCACTGAAAGAGCCAACCTTTTTTGCGCACTATCAAAATTTTTGTCATGTTAAAAAGGAAATTGGACTCTTCCACGTAAATGCCACTGAGTCATTACTATTTTAGTGGTTGCTATATCCTCATTTCATAATGCTCATTCATTATCCATAAAAAGAA